AACCCAGTTCAGTGTTAACCATCCTAAACTTAAAATTGGCTCCACAATCATTAAGTCTCACAAAGCTCTAGGGATAAGCACTTTCACCTACTGTTGTGTCAGCTGCATGAATGGGAAAGCTGAGGCATCCTTTGCTGGAGAGGTTCTATATTTCAATAGCTTTAGGAGATTTCACCCCATTGCCAGGTGGCAAACATTAAATTTTAGTTGCTTTTATGTGGACAGGGCTACATTCATGAATGAAGCCTCATTAATTCTTATCTGCTTTATCTGAACCATAATTTATTCACAAATATTTACTGTCTATTCTGAACTGGAATGGAATATTAAAGTAAATAGAAATCATGTGCATTTGAAAGCACAATCATGCAAGGATATTGCAAGCCTTAATATGGATGAGAATCAAGGCCAATTAATTCACTTACGAAAGAAATGAACAATGTCTGCATTGGATCTAAGGTTAAAATGAAAATTGCAGTTGGATAATTAAATCTAACTGACTTCAAAGCTAAGCACACTGCTGAATCAAGGCTGAGCACTGCTGGACCTGGTGCTTCAGGTGCTCTGTAATAGTTCTGAATTCGTTTAGTTGTGAGAACTGAACTTGTAAAGCCTAATATGCACAGACACATCCCATGTGTAATATTAACAATGAAATAATAAGAAACCCTGAACTTATCCTACCTGAGGTCCTGTTTGAGGTAGCAGGTCAGATTGATTAAGTCACAGCACCAAATTCCAGGAAGGAGCACTGAGGATTGATCTGTCAAATGTTTTAAACTATGTCTTATGTTTTAAATGTGATGAAAAAACTTTTGCCAAACTCCTGCTAACAATTTTTTTTTGTGATGTACCAGATATTGACGAATGTGAGACTGGTACTCATAACTGCCCCCCCGATTTTATCTGTCAGAATACTCCAGGATCGTTCCGCTGCCGACCCAAGCTACAGTGCATGAGTGGGTTTATACAAGATGCTCTAGGCAACTGTATTGGTAAGGCATATTCTTATCTTGGGGGATACTGAAGTGTTGCCTAGGAGATAAGTGGTAGTTTCACTGGATGAATTCTGAGCTTCTCCAACCATTGCTCTGCTCTGCTCTGTGGTTTTTCTGCTCTTCTAAAGGCAGGATTGGTCTCATAGGTAAGATTTACAGATGAGAGACCTTGAAATAAAAGACTTAAATACTTGATTCCTATTTTTAATGAGATTGGGATATCTAAGGCACTTAGCTGTATTTGAGTACTTTCCTGAAGTCTTTGGGTATTTATCTGAAACAAAATTTGTAAAAGATTTGTGATATATTTTATCTACCTCTATCCAAAGTGTTTTACCCAAAGCTTAGTACAAAAAGCTGTAATTTATGACATCCTCTGTAACACCCTTTGATATTACTCTGTGTGGTTTTACAGGTATGTAGGTCCTTCCAGACCTGTCCCCTGTTAGAGCCTATCTTCCTGTGTATGAGAGTGATGGGCCAGTTATAACACACTGTGGAGAGGAGTTTTATTCTCAAAACTGATGACAATCTGTCAGGCTAATGCCTTGTTTCCAAGACTTCCCCAAATGCAGAATTATAACCTTCATATAAATACATTAGAATTACTGGATTCCACCAGTATTCTGAATGCAATTGTCTAATGTGACCTACAAATCTATCAGTTATTCCCTTGAGTAGTATTTTCAAGTCTCAACTTAGCTTTGAATTCCCCCATCGGCATAGCATGTCTCGGACTTGTGGAACTGGCTGAGCAGCAGCAGCTGCCAAGTCGAGCTCATTGTCAGCCCTTCGTTCTCCTGACCATATCATTCCCTGTAGGGTCAAAATCTGACACTGAAAACACTGAGACTGAAAACAAAATTGCAGCCTGTAAAATGAGGAGGGCCAGTGACTGTGCACAGCAAACCCTTTGAAGAGGACTGTCTGCCATAGCCAGCCCCAGGTCCCTGGCAGTAGCCACCACGGATGCCAGTGAAGGCACATCAATTTGTAGCAGTGATAACTGTGGCCCCTAAAATGCATTTGTTCAAAATATTTGCCAAGACAATTTCACAGGCTGATTTTACACACGGTGAATTAAATCCTGCCCTGTGTGGTGTTGAGGGGATTTTGTTGTTGGATTCGTGACTCTGATCTTTGTGTAGAAGCTGAGAGCTAGATCAGAACCCACAAACTGAAGCAGAACTGGTAGAACTGGAGAACTGAATTGTTGATCAGCTCTTCATATGTTTATGGGAGACTTTTCAAAGGCTTGGAAACAAATACAAGTTCTATACCGAATTTCCACTGCTTTTCAGTGGGATCTGTGCCTCTTACACCTCCCCAGTCTTCACCCTGGAAGTGCCGTATTGGTGAAGCGAAATGGCACAAATAATTGTACTCTCCATGGGCAGAACTTTCCAAACTCTGAAGGGTTACATTGGGATGTAAACCTCTGGAGGGTTACATACTGAGAGCATCTTACCTTAAACATCTTGAGACTACAGATAGTTACACTGGCTCGTGCTCTTGTAGATATCAACGAGTGCCTGAGCACCAACATGCCGTGCCCAGCTGGACAGATATGTATTAACACTGATGGCTCCTTTACCTGCCAGCGAATCTCACCCAGCTGTGGCCGAGGTTATCATCTCAATGAAGATGGAACAAGATGTGTAGGTGAGTAACAGTTTGTACGATAAAGTGGTTTTAAGAAAATAGCTCACATCTATCAATTATGTCTACCAGTGTCTTGCACTTTGCCCAAGTTTTTCTTATTCCCACAGTCAATTCTTGATCCTGTTCTTTCCCTCAGGGCAGTCTCAACAAGTGAAGAATGAAACGCATCCTCTCTCTGTCCTTCATATAACTCATGGAACCCTATATTCTGAGAAGAGGAGGAATAATAATTACCCCTCAAAAATGGCATTGCCTGTGACTGTATTTGTGTATTGGAACAATGCTGTGTGGTCCCAAATCTCCTCAGTACAGAGGGATGACACAAGGCCACTTAATATGCCCCACAGGAGCCATTTGAGTAGTGTTGAAAGACATGTATGTCTTTGGCTGGCATTTAACTAAGGTGGCTTTTGCAGAGAGGTATTTTTGCATGTGTTTTCAATTTTTCTAAGTGGCTTATCATAGATTCATCAAGGTTGGAAGAGACCTCTTAAGGTCATCAAGTCCAACCATTAACCTGCCACTGCTGTAACCATATCTTCCAAAGTCAGATCCAGACACCTCTTAAACACCTCCAGGGATGGTGACTCCACCACTTCCCTGGGCAACCTATTCCAGTGCCTGACTACCCTAACAGTGAAAAAAATTTTCTTAATATCTGATCTGAATTTCCCCTGTCTCGGTTTATGGCCAGAGAAAGCACTGCTACTGACCGTGGGTCTGTGACACCTTACACTCATCCATGAATATTGAGTGTGCATGCTAAAACAATTTTGCACCTGATTTCCTCCAAAGACTGTCATTGTTTCCTCATCTTTCCCCTCCCAAGTCTATCAACATTAAGGAACCCTGAGAGAGAGCCTGCTTCACTATGGATGGTTTGGATTTGTGACTCTGATCTTCTTGTAGATGCTGAGAGCCTGATAAAATCTTGCTTTGTGTTTCCGAACACTTTATAACTACGAGGGGACACGGAAACATGTTAACATATTGCTCTTCTCTCAACTTGCATGCTCAGGAGTGTACTTTAAATCCCTTCTCTCTTTTTTTTTAGATGTGGATGAGTGCTCATCCTCCAACCAGCCTTGTGGAGAAGGACATGTTTGTATCAATGCCCCAGGCAATTACCGCTGCGAGTGCAAATCTGGCTACACTTTTGATGTCATCAGTAGGACATGTATTGGTGAGTTGCACCTATTGACTTGAATATGTGCAGCTATAGCACTTTAAAAATCATCCTGTAAAGAATGTTAGTGCTCTCTGCATAACCTCTGTCATCTGAATGTAAAATTGACTACTGTATTATTTGGATAGATTTAATACCATATTAAAGAGCTGCTGATACTTCAAAGGAAGGTCTATTAGTATTGTCAACATGTTATCTGTTATCCTATTAAAAGGTAAGATTATGAGAGTGTGTGTAATTGTTTTCTGTGATATTTTTATATGCACCTACAGCAAAACGTTCCTTGGGAAGATCAAAGCAACTTTCTTCTGTGTAGATCTAATCCAATTATGCGCTGGGGTGCTCGTAAATGAGCATTTCGAGGATGACTTCTCTCTCTAGTATGAAATTTAAATCTGGAAAATAAAAATCAAGCTTATATGACCACATTCTTGCAGAGACTGCTGCTGTAGTGAAGCCAGCTGATCCCCAGACCTCTCTGTGTGTTCATCCTTGCAGATATCAATGAATGCAGACGCTACCCAGGCCGCCTTTGTGCTCACAAGTGTGAGAATACCCCTGGTTCCTACTACTGCACTTGCACCATGGGATTCAAACTCTCAGCTGATGGTAGATCATGTGAAGGTATGGCTGTCAGTGCTTTGGCTGTATAGTATGAGAAACAGCTCATTGATGTTTAGCTGATTCCATTTGATTTTAGCTGGTAAGACTGCAGTGGAATGGCATGAACGATCAGCCCAGTGCAGTCTCTCTGATTATGTGAATGCTGTTGTGCTTAGTCGAGGCCCTTGGAGCCCACAGTTTGAGTACATTGCCCTTAGATTGGATCATTTGACAGGACAAAAGGAAATGGCCTCAAGCTGTGTCAGGGAAGTTTCAGAATGGACATCAGGAAGAATTTCTGCATGGAAAGGGTTGTCAGGCATTGGAAGGAACTGCCTGGGGAGGCAGAGGCTTCATCATCCCTGGAGGTGTTCAAGAAATGACTGAACATGCCTCTTAGTGCTCTGGTCTAGTTGACAAGGTGGTGATCAGTCTCAGATTAGACTCAATGATCTTGGAGGTCTTTTCTGACCTAAATGATTCTGTGATGAATACATGCAGGGATGTATGGGCTACACTGACTTTATTTTGAAGGGTGATTCAACAAGATCAGATTCAAACCTTCAAAATCAGCCTTGCTGGTATCCAGCTACAAAAATGAAAGTGTTGGCCTAAAGATTCTCTCCAAGTCATGTACCTTGAAGTACTGTGGGAAATAATAGCACAGTGACAATTAACTTATGCTGCCAGACCCTGTTAAGAGTAACACACCCAAAGCCCCCTAGTTCCAGCTCACTCAGTGACATGTGTGCCATCTGTTTTTAATTTTAAAAGATGCTTTCCAAAGTTATGACTTTTCATTTCAGATTTGAATGAGTGTGAGAGCAACCCCTGTAGTCAAGAGTGTGCCAACGTGTATGGCTCCTACCAATGTTACTGCCGCCGCGGCTTCCAGCTGAGCGACATAGATGGCATTTCATGTGAAGGTAAGTTCTGTAGTGCTGCAGAGGAAGGATGAGTGAGTGTTTCTTGTTGTCACCATAACAGACAGGAGCAATTCCATGCTGTCTCATCATTGCATTCTCTTGGGTATTTTCTTGTGAAACTGTTTAATGAAGGTCTCCCACCCATGTCCTGGTCTAGAAACATCTCTGCTTGTGGGGTGTCAGTTTTGCTGTTTACACTGAGCTTGGCATAATTTTGTAACTTTGACAGAAATTTGGTTTTTTCTGAGGATCTAACAGAATTTCTGTTCTTCAGCAAGTGAAAGTATGAACACATTTATATGGTACATATGTAATATATAATACTACTAGGTAGTATTTTATATATCCTCTTTTTGTGGCTCGTTCTGAACTAAGGTGTAAGTAGGTTCTCCTCCTATATAAGGAGGATGTGACCTCATGGGCAAGATCCTGAATTTGAACTTAGGTCTCCAGGACTTACTGAACAGTGAGACCTTAGGCAGAACAACTAATTCTGATTTCCTGTTGGTAAGAACAGGGATAAAACTGTTCCTCTCTCTCCATCTTGTAAAGCTACAATACACATCACTGTAAAGTGTTTGCTCTTGTGCATTAATTTGTCTCTTGGGCCCTCATACTGCTTTCCATTTTCTTCAGAGCTCTATTTATTCCTGAAAGTCTTTGTTATTTAGCCTTCCTTGACTAGAGCCACGCCTGTCTGCTGATCTTCTTCCTTGCCTAGAAATTAGAATCATGAAGTGTTTGAAGCTCACAGTGGGAGCACCATACAAGCACACTAGGTTGAATGTCATGAACACAGAGTAAATTTGTGGTGTTTTCTTCTTGCAGATATTGATGAATGTGCTTTGCCTACTGGAGGGCATATCTGTTCCTTTCGATGTATTAATATTCCTGGGAGCTTCCAATGTACTTGTCCTTCCACTGGTTACAGGTTGGCACCCAATGCACGTAACTGCCAAGGTGAGTCAGTAAGTGCAGGGAGGCCTCACTAGACTGTGGACATGTGAAAAGTTCCAGCAAGTTTTTGTGTTTAAAAAATGCTTTTCCTAAAACATTATAGGTAAAGCAGTAAACATCAGTTTGAAATCAGAAGAAACCAGTCTTTTATAGTAAATATACAGGAAAATTCCATTCTGTAGTACAGAACTTGGTAGAGAATAATTTTTATAAGGTTATTAAGCAATTACAAAAAATTCCCAAGATGAAGATTCCTGTTGTGATATGGTATGAGTTAGTTTAGCCAATAAAAAGAAATATCCTGCTGGAAACATGTCAGCAAATATTTAGGTCTTGACCACTTAGTGGCACTGCTGCTCTTCCTTTTCTGCCTCTTGCTGGTTGTTTGAGTTAGTTTTCTTGGGTTTTGTTCTTCTGCTCTCCCCTTCCAATCCTGTACTAATGAGTAATTGCACCCCATGGTCAAGTATCTAACAGGATACTTTCATTGTCTGGCACCTGCAAGTAGAGGAAAGGCACATGTTTAAAGCACTTACCTGTTTCCATTTGGCAGATATTGATGAGTGTGTTGCAGAAAGCCACAACTGTTCTTTCAATGAGACCTGCTTTAACATCCAGGGTGGCTTTCGCTGCCTGTCGTTGGAGTGTCCAGAAAATTACCGCAAGTCAGGAGATACGTAAGTACCTTCTTTCTCAAGGTCAAACAGTTTTTTGGTGACATGATCTCCTTTCTGTCATGCCACTACCAACTGAACACGGAAGAGTTGCTAGCAAATATGTCTTGTGTTGGCAGGACTACCCTATGTTTTGCACACACAGGCCTGGTCTCCTCCTCATGCTCCTGATCCTAAGAAAAAGATGTTCCCTTTAAAAATGCCATGTGTCAGTGCTTGCATTGTAATGATTTCTAGAGCCATAAGCAGACTCTCTCTCTCTCTGGCTCCCTTGCAGGCAACCTGGTAGAAGGGTTACATCCAGCTTCAGAATCCTTGACTTCTATTTCAGAATCACACATAGTCTTTCCTTACTATCACACTTCAGCCAGGGAGTTTTTTTAGCTCCATCTCTGCATTCTTACCAGTGCTGTTGCAAAGCATTGCATGAATATCTTATTTTCAGTACTGTTTCACATCTGTTAGAAAGGCTGGGAATCCTAGCAAGGATGGTATGTTAGCTGCTGCTCATACTTGTGTCTCTAACCTGGCTGAGAGACAGTGCATTCTGCTGTTGAAAGCAGGAGACAGCTTTGGGAGGAGGGAGCTATTTATACCCATTAAATGGTACTAGCAGAGTGGAGAAGTTGTTGCAAACTCTTGTGTAGCTGGAGTTTATGGAGTTTAGGTGATGCTTTGCCTCCCACCTGCAGTTTAATGGCCACCCTGTACTCCAGCAATTCTTCCAAAGGCTGCTCTATAGTCCTCCTCATGTGCCCTATTCCCAGGTAAGTGTGTGCTCCACCAGCCAGGGAGGAAGGCTGATAAATCCCATTTGTTACCAACCTGCTATTGCTTTTCCCAGTCAGTATTGGTATGCCCATCACCTCCTAACTGAGATGGAGTACTCTGCTCCCGCTGTAGAATGAAGCCAGTGCTGATCTTCATCACAGGGACTTCGTGGGGATTAGTCAGTTTGCTTTTAAGCCTTGATCTGTGAAATGCCATGTAAGTGACTCAGCAGATGTATTTGATCAGAATGCTGGAGAGGGGACTCATGGTATAAACCCAGCTATTTATAAAACATGCCTGTGTTCTGGGAAGTGGAAATAGGAATTCAATTTTAAATTCTATTTTTCACATCAGTGAACAAACAGTGGCTAACGATGCAAACGTTTTCTTTATTTGTAATTTTGTGGGTTCATTTGTATCCTAACTAAAAAAAAAGTCATGCGTAGTTGGCCACTAGGCAGAATTAGCAGGTCCCTACTCTTATGGACATCCCTGAGTTGCAGAGTTCAGTTTATAAAATACACATCGTACACATACATTCCATTTCATCTTCTACCTGTATTTTTTGGGGAAGCAGAAGAATGCCTGAATTGTTTTCCTGTGTCTGGATTCTTGGTTTTCTGCGATGGCTTATTCTGCCTAACTCAGACCTACTCATAGGGTGAGATCCTTCTGATGTGCTGGGGCTATAATTAGGCCATGAGTCAGACACAAATCCTGCAGCTGCTCAGTGAAGTTCTAATTATTTTTAATTCCTTGAGTTATTACCTTGTTGGATTTATTAGTTTTTTTCCCTCTCACAGCTACAGTTACTGAATTTATTGCTGAAAACGTGTTTCAATAAACCAAAGAGAATACAAGTTCATTATCTTTCCAAGTCAAGTCTAAGTCAGCTTGGTGGGGCAATAGGTGCTCTCATGCTCAGTCAGGATACAAGCATTACACCAACGTGTGGGAATCAGGACTTAGGGATTTGGTGACTCTGAACCCGGTGGAGAGCAGTTTCCTAAGACAGCTTTTTAGCTCCCTTTTTACATCCAAACTATTTTACATCTTCTTGACAAATTTACTGTTGGCCTACACAGCCCAGCATGGCTGATAGTTAGGGTGTCTTCATTAGCTGCTGCATGATAATGGCATCAAATTGCTCGTTCACCCACCCTTGTGCCAGGACTCTTAAATCAAGGTAGTTGGCTTCTCACAATGTCACATCTAGTACAAATACCATTTGCCTTTTTATTCAAAACACATTCCAGTTTCACCAACTTGGCACATCATAAGAAAGACAACATATTTTCCATTCCCATCAAGTCAGCACCTCAGGAGATTTTTTTCTTACCCTATTCCCCATTTTTTTCTTTGGAACAGCTATAATTTAATAGGACTTAGTCCTGTAAATCCAAGTTTCTTCATTCTTAAATTTCTTTCAAATCTTTACGTACAGGCAACACCCCTCAGTGATCCAGAAGCTTCTTTACCCAATATCTTTAAAGCAGAGATTTTTGCATGGTGCTTGTTGCAGTGGTGATTGCCAACAGGTTAAGTCATCTCAGGATCATCCCATGCTACAGGCTGAAAGCTCAGGTTGCTGTGTAGATACTCTGAGCTTTGGGAGGAAACAGCCTGTGTAGCCTTCCCCAAAGACAGCAAAATGCCTGGCAAGGTCTGATCCTTAATGGTAACAGTTTTATTGAAGGCCTTATCTCTTTTACTTAAATTCTGCTTTTGTTTTACTTTGATCAGCCTTGGTATTTTTCCAAGGATAATTAAGATCTACTCCTCCTCACAATAGGACTTAACTTGCTGCACTGCCTTGCCAAACAGTTTTTGTTTTCAAATTGCATAACAATTAAATTCTCTTTATGTGGTACTGACTTCTAACATATGCAATATTTAAGCCAAGAAAAAGAGCAGAAAAGATAAAGAAGCGTTTATGGCGACGTGTCAGAAATGTGTGCTGCCTTGAGCCAAACTGGGAAATATTCGTATATTCTAGGCATGCCTGTGTATTGTTAAGGTTTCCTGGTGCTTCTCATTATTAGGACCTGTTTTAACTGCTTAAAATTTTGCCAAAACGTAAGCAGTGCCTGAAATTTTACATGCCAGGTGTCTGACTCAGGCTCACGTTTTGGTGAATTTCAACCAAAGCAGTTTACTATTTCCCAAGGACAAGTGTAGAGAGGAACACATTGGTTTGTGTGTTTGAAGATATTTTGGTGATTTTCTTTTTTCCTTTTAACAGTTTGCTGTCATGTTTTGGAGCAGAAATCTGACATTTGTTAGGAGATTACATTCTCACTTTCTGTCATCCTTACCTCTGAAACTTCTGAAATTGCAAACTCTTAAATACTGCTTTTAGCCTTTTTTCATAAACCTTGGGAAATGAGGACCTTGATGGCTAGATTAATCAAATCCTGTCCACCAAAACAGGCTCAGGTCTACCTGGAATATTTCTGAGAGTTTTTTATTTAACTTTTGCTTCAATAATGGTAAGGATTTCACAGCCTCAGTAGCAATCTCTTTGTGTTTGGCTATCTGCCTCAGTGCAATTTAACTCTTCCCATCAGTAGAGGGGTCTTTCTTTTTTTAGCAACAAACAGTTCTCTTCTGATTTAGCAGACCTGAGCTTCTTGTAGCTCTAATAACTAAATAACTACAGCAGTCTGAAATGTGCAGGTCCAACTCTGCAGACTGTCTGAGCCTGCTGACACACAAAGCCACAGGAGGAGAGGAGCCCAGTGTTCTCAGTGATGTCAGCTGCTGTCTGTCCTGAGCCAGGTGCTGCCTACCTGCACAACCCCAGAGCCAGTTTCTCATGTGCTTTTACTCCAACTCCATGGAGAAGTGAGCTGTTTCTAGCATGAGTGAGAGAAGAGACAACTCAGAAAGAAGATAAGTCATACTTAGGGGTTGAGGAGGCTGAATGTAGGGAGGGAAAGATCTAAAGGTATGGCAAGGCGAGGAGAATGAATCTAGGAGACACTTGTGGGGTAGAAAGTAAAATTGGGTAAAACAATTTAGAGACAGAGAGGAAAACAACAGCAGGAGTTAGGAGCTTATGGCTAAGGGTGATTGATACCAGAGAGGAAAACAACAGCAGGAGTTAGAAGCTTATGGCTAAGGGTGATTGATATCAGATTTGGATGATGACCAACAGAGGAAGGAATAATTTGGGATGGAGGCACAAAGATACTGAAGGAAGGGAGGGATCTGTGCTTTGGGACTAGGGCTGTGAGGTAGAAACTGAGGGAACCAAGTGTCAGCCAGGAGAGGATGGAGCAAAAAGAGGAGGAGGGTTGGCACTGGCTGAGTAGACAGCCCTGATGCCAAGATGATAGGAAGAAGAAACTGGTTTGGGAAACACAGAATAAAGACACAAGGATAGGACATGAAGGCTCAGTGCTGAGAGCAAAGTGAAGATAGTTCTGTCTCATCTATAGCCTGAGACCTCCTAGATACTTTCCAGCCCCAGACGGGAGGAACGTCCTGTGTCCACCTCCTAGATACTTTCCAGCCCCAGACAGGAGGAACATCCTGTGTCTATCCTGTCTACCATTCTGCTGCATACTGTATTCCCTTTCGAGTCTGAAGTGAGGCTCCAGATTTTCCTCTGGTTAAGAATTATGTGTAAAGACCAACCATCAGTTGGTTTCATTCCCTCTAAGTTCTGGTCTAGCTGCGCTGCTCTGTTAACATCAATGTAGACACCCATGATGTGACAATGGTTCATTTGGGCCTCAAGGTGTGGTGCAACCTGCTGAAAAGAAATACTCACCAATGACAGCATGAGTGAGTACCTTTGTAGTGGAATATATTCTAGAAGGTCTGGAAGATTGTTACAGCTCTGGAAATCCACAGCTTTGAATTTCAGAGTTATGTAGCTGCTCTGTTAACATCAATGTAGACACCCATGATGTGACAATGGTTCATTTGGGCCTCAAGGTGTGGTGCAACCTGCTGAAAAGAAATACTCACCAATGACAGCATGAGTGAGTACCTTTGTAGTGGAATATATTCTAGAAGGTCTGGAAGATTGTTACAGCTCTGGAAATCCACAGCTTTGAATTTCAGAGTTATGTAGTGTATAGTTTGGTAAGAAGATTTGGTTAGTTATTCAGCATGTTGAAATGGTTTTCCTCTGTGAAGTGAATTACAAAGCCATAAATCTTGCAAATAAAAAGTTTGTTTCCTTTAGTGCATGAGGAATTGTTGCATACCACTCAGCTCCTTTG